TAATTTATTATATTTTTATCAAAAAATTTACATCTATATATTTATTTAGTTTACATTAATAAATAAAATTTATAAAAAAAATTTAAACATAGTACACAACTGGCTATTACATAGAGATTCAACGTCTCTACACAAATCACCTTGATCTGATTGTCTCTGGTCGCACGCACTGACTTTCTCCCCATGTTGATCTGTATGAATGGATTCAACTTGCTGCATGCAGACTGTTCTGCCTTCAGAAAAATGCTGCATTAGGGACAGTTTGGCTGCTCAAAATAGGGCCGAATGGAATCTAACTCTTTGGCTTCTTTTTCTCTCATATCTAACTTTCTCTCTCTAACCCGGTCTCTGATATCACTTGTTGGAGAAATTAGTCTTTAAACCGTGCACAGCCACAACAAAATAAAAAACAAAATGAGAACAATACGAAATCTAACGTGGTTCGATAATGTGCCTACATTTAGAAGTAAGACTAATAAAATTTTTTTCCACTATAAGCAGAAGATAATATCACCAAGAGGGTCATAAGTCCTTAAATAGAGAAATTACGAGAGTTTTTCTCATAAAAAACTCTCAAATGTAAGCATAAAATATTATTTAAAATAAATATAAAATATTTTAAAGATATATATAAAATATTTATTATAATAAATATAAAATATCTTACTAAATATAAATAAGATATCTCCAAAATTTAAGTCACATTGTCCGCAATGCAAGAACTAAATTGTTAATTTGTTCAAAATTCTAAAATTATTCAACACATAATTTAGAAAAAAATATTTTTAGTTTTTTACTATATAATTTATAATATTTAATTCAGATTTTATTATGCATTATTAGTAAAATTTACCAAAAATATATTAAGTTATTATATATACATATATAAATGTGGGAAGCTGCACGTACATGTAGCATTCATTTTTTTTTTTTTTTAATGTTAATTTATTTATTAAGGTAGGAACATATTGATGTATAATGAGGTAAAATTAAAAAAGTAATTGATTCAAAATAAAAAGAATTATTATAAAGAGATTGTAAGTGTGATTCGCGAATCCTATAATGAATATTTTTAATTTTTTGTTATATTAAAAAATTAAAATAAAAATATTTTTTATGTACCAAATGCTGTGTACACTGTATAATATAAAAATATATCTAAATAAAAAGAATGGTTTAACTCGCTACTACTTTAACAAACTTTACTAACAATATTAATAGAATATTAAGCATATTTTTTTGAAAATAAAAAAAAATTAGTTTAGTACCCAATCCAAATAATGACTTAATTTATTTATTAAGATAGAGAAACATGTTAAATGTAAGACACCCAAAAGAATTGACCGTCGCTTCTAAAAAAATGAATTGACCTACCCATTATGATAAGAAAAAACAAATTATTCATTAAGGAGATTCTAAAATTGCAGAGATTTAGTTTGCTCAAACCGTCAAAGTTTTGAAAATACACTATACTTCTTACTAATCCTGATTATTATATTGAAACACATAATTGGTTAAAAATTGTTTTGAAAATACACTATAGTTCTTATTACTCCTGATTATTATATTAAAATACATAATTGGTTAAAAATTATAAGATGTTTTTAAAATTAAAATATAATTAGGTTAAATATATATATATATTATAAACAAACTGCAAGTATAATTCATCAATCCTACCATGAATCACGATATGCTGTAATCACAATTTTATTTAAGTTGTAAGTCAATTAACCAAATACTTTATAATTCATACGGAAGTAATCTGTATAATTTCGGATCAATTTGCAAAACACCCGACCCGAATCAAGAATGAGCTCGAAGGCGGGTCGGATCTTTTACCGTATGGATTTATCGTTTCAACGTTTTCCAGTTGTCTTCTCCGCTCTCCAGTATCCCGGCAGAGCACAGCGTTTCATTGGAAAAATGGAGGTGGCAAATCCAGCAACATCAAGCTTCACGCTCCGCACTCGTATGATGGCAGTACAACCGCTTGCCTCTTTTCGAACCCTAAATCTTGGCCGAACTCTGTCTGCGTCTTCACCTTCGTCTTCTTTTTCTTCTTCTGCCAGAGCTTCTCTCTCCACCAGCTTGCTTTCTCCTTTCACTAGCGGCAGCGTTTCCGGTGAGTTCTCCGGCATGAAAATCCGACTCGCGGCGCTTAAGCGTTCCTCTTTCTCCAGGTCCAAGGGTAAACGCGGCGTCTTCACCATGGTAACTTTTTTTTTTTTTTTTTTTTTTTAAAATATTACTTGTTCATTTCATTCATTTTCTTGTTTCCTTTTGTACTTATCCATGGCATCAAAGTTGCAATCAGCTATTTAAAGTTGCAACTGGAACATGCTTAATAATTCGATTTGAAGGCATGAGAGGGAATTTCAACTTGAAGAAATAAGTATTTCATGAATCTAATACTCACCTCCTGAAGGAATTGTGACTGCTGGTTGAATTATAGTTTCATCATTTGTGTTGGATATGTTTGCAGCGGTAGCTTTTTTTTTTTTTTTTTTTTTAGTCTTTGTTTTCTTTTTGGAATGAAAGAGATAACTAGTATAAAAAGGCACCAAAGGATTGCCGACTATTTACATAAAGAGATCTTAATCCGAGAGAAATTAGTGAAGAGGTTGTAATATCCACCTCATCCAGAACAGGGTAGCTCCTAAACAAAATATATACGGTCCTAAGTTAATGATACTGATGGAAGAAAAGGGGGAAGAAAGTTAACCATAGTTCAGGACTTCCAGTTAACTAAAGAGAAAAGACAGAGAGGAGTCCAGAGAGATTTGAATTGGAATCATTTGATGCTTGCACCCTCTGGAGAGCTGTTTATATAGGCAAGGGGGCACACCCTTCTGTTAGGCGTGTTCCTTTACTTACAATTTGGTTACAACATAGTGAACAGAATGAACAAGAATTTGGTTTAGTACAAAACTACCCATTCCTTCAAATTAATTCCCCATTTTGCTCTTCTTTGTTTTTTACACCTTCAGCGGTTTCCTCACAATACTTTTCCTTCAAATGGTAACTTTGTCCTCAAGGTTGAGATTTGGAAATTGTTGACGAATATATTCAGTCTTTCCAAGTGAAGAGAAAAAGAGTCAAGAGAGAGAGAGAGATTCAAATTGGAATTTGAATTTGAATTTGAATTTGAATTATATGATGTCTCTCCCTCTGGAAACCTGTTTATATAGGCAAGAGAGCATGCCCTTCTGTTAGGCATGTTCCTTCTGTTACAATTTGGTTACAACAAAATGAATAGAATGAACAAGAATTTGGTTAAAGTACAAAACTACCCATTCTTTCACATTAATTCCCCATCTTGCTCTTCTTCCTTTCGAACATCTTCAGCTGTTTTTTTGCATCTTTTCCCTCGAATGGTAATCTTGTCTCCAAGGTTGAGATTTCGAAATTGTTGACGAACATTTTTTTTTTAATAAAAAGAGTGAATTATATTAATAGTGCACCAAGGGGGTGCAACTTATATACAAAATAAATTTACATATTAGTCATGCAGTCAATTATATGCCTAAAATCATCCACTCTATACAAGTCATGCTCTAGTAATAAAGATTCAAACAAATGGAACCATCTATCTCTAATTTTTGTAATATCACTTTCAACCCCCTCAAAAGCCCTTCTATTTCTTTCCTTCCAAATAATCCATTATACAGTCAAAGGATTAAACTAGTAACTTTTTTCTTTTTTTTTCAACCCCTCCCAAGCCCACAACTCCTCCTTAATAGACCCAATCATAACCCAATTAATCCCCCAAGAGGCTAAAAATCATAATTCAGATTTCTTGGACAGCAGGACTGAAAAGCAGAAGACGATTGCATGTTTTAGCCTCCCTTTTGCACATGTAACAATCACCTTTCCTCTTTTCAGCAAATTGTCATTTGTCAAAATGCAATTCCTACTGGCTTCCCATGCATAGTCTTTCCAAGTGTAGTTGTCCGGTGAAGTTCCTTCCCATGAAATGAGGATTTGTTCCAATTCGTAATTGCCATGTAGAATGTTTCTACATTGCAACACTTTCTTAGGTTGGACATTAATTACATCATTCATATTGTTTGTTGAAGGATCTTCCATCCTAATGTTGTGACCAATACTGTACTTTTTTAACTGAGACACATGGAAGACTGGGCAGATACGCGAGGATAAGGACAAATTGAGCCTATATGCTACTGGTTCGACCTTTTGCACAACTTCAAAAGGATTATAAAATCTTGGGGATAGTTTAGAACTTTCACCTTTTCAGATTGTCCATTACCTGAATCGTTGGAGCTTGAATAGCACAAGATGGCGTTTTTCAAAACTCCTTTCACTACGATGAACATTGGCAAATTGTTCGATAAGGAGTTGTACTCTCAAAAAGTGTTGTTTAATTACCATGTTAGCTTCATCTCTTTCTAATATGAATGCTTCAGTTGATTGGGAGGGTGAGTCTTGGATCAACAGTGTCCAAGAAGTGGTGAGGAGTGTAACCTTATAGAGCTTGAAACGGAGTCATTTTAGACTCGATTAGTATGAAGTGTTATACCACCATTTAGCAGTTGTCAACCATTTGGCTCATGTTTTACGTTGTTGATGGGCCATGCACCTGATACATCTCTAACATTGATTTTGCCTTTCTGTTTGATCATCTGTCTATGGATGCTAAGCATAACTAAGATCCAAAGGTTGTATCCACGACTTTCATCAACTCTTTTCAGAGAAGGTTAATGAATCTTTTATGGCTATCATATACGAGGGTCTGTGGAATTTCACGGAGCTAGGGGATGGTGTCTGTTAAGAAAGCTCTAGTAGTTTACTATAGAAGGAAGGACGGAAAATGAAATTCACCCCACAAGGTGCAAAATAATCCTTTCACTTGACAAAAGTTTAGGAT